CCAGCGCCCGAGTCCTTATTGTGGTTTTGTGTCTGAGAATGTGTCAGCAGCATTCCCCGATGCCTGTCGGCTCAGCACACATTGGTTAGACGCCTACCGAATGTTGGACGCTGGGGATGTGCTTGTGTGGAGCTCTGCACCTGTTTCTGTGAACATGTGCGTGCAGGAAGTTTCTGGCCTGGGGAAATTCTGTCCTGAATAACCCTCAGAGTTGGGAAAGAAGGCACAGATATTTACTGAAAACCTGTTAATGTCAGGTTCTGTATTAGGTATGACTTTTGTTCCCATTGCACAGATGAGAAAATAGGGTCAGAAAGGGAAAATGGCTTGGGAAGGCAGGGTGGGGTGATGGAAAGGAGGCCTTTGAAGGCACACAAATTTCTATTTTATTCCATTCATTCTCTGCTGGGTTTTTTTTGTGTGTGNCAGAAAGGGAAAATGGCTTGGGAAGGCAGGGTGGGGTGATGGAAAGGAGGCCTTTGAAGGCACACAAATTTCTATTTTATTCCATTCATTCTCTGCTGGGTTTTTTTTTTTTTNAAGGGAAAATGGCTTGGGAAGGCAGGGTGGGGTGATGGAAAGGAGGCCTTTGAAGGCACACAAATTTCTATTTTATTCCATTCATTCTCTGCTGGGTTTTTTTTGTGTGTGTGTGTGTGTGTGTGTTTTGTTTTGTTTTTACCAACTGTGTGACCTTAGGCATGTTTCCAACCTCTGTAGCCCTGCTTTCCTGGTCTAGATCACAGGATACTAGTACCCATTGCATGGATTTCTCAAGGAGTAAATGAGAAAAGATATGTAAAGTGCTGAGCATAGGTCCTGCACCCACCCACTCATTCATCCATGGGAGATTTATTGAGCACCTGTTATGTGCCAGGTCTTGTACCAAGCATTGGGGCTGCCATCAAGAGCAACACAGGTACAATCTCTGTTCTCAAGGAACTTAGAGGCTCAAGGGGGACACAGATGATTAAATAGGTGATTATAAATCAGAGCTATAATGAATGGAGGAGCCAGGGCTCTGTTGTGGGAATAAATAACATGGCTGCATTATCCCAAGCTTGAGGAGTCAGGGAAGGTGCCTGGAGGGAGTGTCGTCTCAGTTGAGCCTCGAAGGATAGGTTGGCATTGGGAAGGGAAGGGCTTCAGACAGAGGAGATAGCATGATCAGAGACCCAGAGTCAAGGGATCATGTGGGTTCCAGAACCAAAAGCAGTTTAATGTGGCCAAAGTTCAGAGGTGGAAAGGTTACTGATGCCAGAGGGGGCAATAATGGGAGAGGGTCAGTGGCCGGGCCAGAGGTGCTGGTGGTCACTCAAATCAGGAGGCAGAGAGGAAGGCAGTAGGGCTAGAGGGGAAAAGGTGAGTTCATGTATAGAGGCATTGGGACTTTGTTGTGGATTGGACATGGGGGACGAGGGAGAAAGAATCAAGTAATGCCTGACTTTTTTTTTTTTTTAATATATCTTTATTGATTTCAGAGAGAGGAAAGGAGAGGGAGAGAGATAGAAACATCAGTGATGAGAAAGTCATTGACTGAACCCACAACCCGGGCATGTGCCCTGACTGGGTATCGAACCCCGATCGCCTGGATCCTAGGTGGATGCTCAGCTGCTGAGCCACGCCCGGCCCAGCGTGCTGCCTGATTTCTGATTGGGCAGACAGCCCTCCCCTGAGATGGGGAAGTTCCAGGCAGGAGGAGCCCTGGGGAAGATGGTGTGCTCAGCCTCAGCCAGGCTCAAGTCTGAGTTACGTCCTACGGGAACCCCTGGGATTTGGGAGGGATGTTCAGGAGAATACATACTCTGCGAATGGCATTCCCTGGCATTGGGCAACATGGCAGCCTGGAGAGTTCAGCCAGATGGTGGAGTCAGAAGCCCAAGAAGGTGTCTGGGCTAGAGAGGGAGGTCAGAGAATCAAGAACACACAGGCTGTGGTGGAGCTGTTGGAAGTGGCTTGGGGGGTGGTACAGAGTGGGAAGAACAGGCGACTCAGGTCTGTGTTGGTGAACACCTTAGAACACCTTGGCGCAGGAAGAGGAACCACTGGCTGAGAAGGAGCAGCCGCATAAAGAGGAAGAAAACCAGAGCACTGGGCTCCTAGAGTTTGTGAAAAGAGTGTGGGCCTAGAAAGAAATGCCCAATGCACTTCTCAGAGCCTCATGTTCTTTATCAGGAAGATGGGCCAGTAGCATCTGCCTCAGATTTGTTTTGAGGAGCAAATCAGATACAATTATTCACTGAGGTTATGCTACTGGCAAGGTGCAAAGCCAGGATTCCTGCCCAAACTGTGTAGCTCTAATGCCCTGGCTCTCCTATGGCCCCTGCTGCCTCTGGGGAGGTGGCTGTGAGCGGAGGAGTCAAGAAGCTCTGAGCCAGCAGGACCTGTACAGGTTCTGGGCTCAGCCGGGGGGTAGGACCTCACTGGGGTGGGGTAGGTGTCCTTGCTGGGTGGGAAGCACATAGAGGCTGACAGACCCTCCGCTGGGAGAGATGCCCTAGCCCCACCCCACAACCAGACTCTGGGACAGCCCCTCTGGATCTGGGTTCCATATGGGCTGCACAGTTGCCCCCACCCTGGCTGACGGAGGGTGGGCTGCTGGTGTGTGTAGGTCTGTGTGTGTCCATGTAGCCCCATATGCATCTGTGTGTGGGCCCGTGTGTGTGTGTGTGTGTGTGTGCTGGGGGTGGTGGTGTCTGTGATGATTGGGACCTCCCTATCAGAGTATGTGTGTGTGTGTGGGAGGGGAATGACCGTGTCTCCATCCCTGAGCGTGCCCACATGTGCACCCGGGGCTGTGGAGTCCACGCCTGTGTGAGTAGTGTGTGCTGCATGCCTTCCTCTCTGGATGTGTCTGCGTCTTGGCGCAGACCTCTCTCCCCGTGCACCTGAGCTGGTGTTCCCCTGCCAGGAACGTTCTGTGGGCTGCTCTGCTGTGGGAGGGGAGGGGGGCAGAGAGATACTCCCCACCCTGGGATGGGCCAGGCTCTTGAGCAGGGAGCAGTGAGCCACCTCAGAGTAATGACAGCTTTGTCTGGCTCAGGCCAGTGGTAATTCCGAAGACAGCTTCTGGGCTGGGCCCCATCAGAAGAAAGGGGGCAACACCCCTTCTCGGGGGCTGCAACTGGCCCTTCCCTGCCAGCCATGGAGCCCAGCAGACGCGCCCCCCTCCATGCCTACTCCCTGGGAGGCGTCTGACACATGATTTATTCATAAAAAGCCATTATTTGTGCCAAAGAAGAACTGAGCTGCTCGCTTTTTAAGTGCTGATAATGCTCTCAGCCTCCTTGCCTCTCCTCTCCTCTCCCCTTCCCTCCCTCTCCTCTCATCTTCTCTCTCACCTCCTTGGGACTTCCATCGGTTTTCCGCCTCCCCTTTCTTCCCTCTTCCCCTCCTGGTCTCCCTCCCTAGTCCTTTATTGTTCCCTCATACCTCCTCTCCTCCCCTCACCCCACTCCCCTTCTCCCTACCTCTGCTCTGCAATTAGGGATGTGAGGCAGGGTCACTGGAGGCTTAGGACCAGCTGTCCCAGGTTGGGGAAGGCCTGCGTCAGCCAGGAGCCCAGTGGACCCCACCCTCCACCTCAGCCTTCCCCTCTTCAGGACCAGGGGAAGTTTGGGAGGAGGGGGGGCAGGCTTAGAAAGGTGGGGGGTCTTGGGAGGCTGTCACAGCCAGCTCCCCAGTGTTAAAGGGTGTGACTTTAGCACCCCTATTATTAGCACCAGTTTCCCAAATAACATTCCATCTAAATAAAAAGAGTGCACTTGCAGGTTTAAGGCAAAGTCCCTAGGCTGCTTCTTCCTCTCAAGTGGGCCCCCTAAGTGGCCCTATGTAGAAATTTTGGAGCCACCATTATTCAGGTGGTGCCAGGAGAGGCTGGCTTCACGGGAGGCACTTGGGGCCCCATCACATGGTGAGCACCCTGTTTCCAGACAGGAGGCAGCAGATGCAAGCATGGGCAAGGACACACACAAGGTTCTTAGAAGTGTGTGTGCACACGCACAGGCACGCACACCGCCCACACCTCCTCACGCAGGTGCACAGTCCTTCCTCCCCTGAGCACCTGCAGTGGGGGCTGAAGCTCTTCCCTGTTCAGACACCTGCTCGGTCAGTCATTCATTCATTCCATTAACTTTGCTTTTGCACCCCTTTTGTGCCAACACTGGTGCTGGGTGTTGGGGTGGCAAAAATGAACATGATGGGACCATGGGGAGTGGGGGACTGGAGCAGAGGGGGTACTGCAGGGCTTCCTCTCAGCCTTGGGCTGGGGGTTAGGTGCCCAGCAGACAAGAGGTTAAGTCATTTGGCATCCAGAGCTGGAGCCATTAGGCCTCCTAATTATGAAATTATCGAGGTCCTCAGGTGACTGCTAATTTCACACACACTGTTCCTCTCACGGCTAATGAACGCCCGCAGAACCCACGCCTTGTCTTTCCTGCTGAACAGTGACCTGCAGTTAATGAGCTCAGGAAGGCGGACAGGCAGCCGACTGGGTGGGTGGGGTGCTAGGCCTGAGGAGGGGGCCGCT